GAGCCTCCACTTTATACTCCATATCTCAGATCGAGCTGGTCGGACAAACGGCGACCCGTTACAGTGTAATGAAACTTTTACGACGGCTTCCTCCGTGAAAAATCCCGCAGATCAGTTTCAGTCAAAAGACAAAAAGATAAATAGTAATACTAATAAATATTTATCCCCTTTCGATATCATTAACTAATTAGTTAAGTGCGTGTAGTGGGGGGTGAATTAACTACACAATAATAGTAACAATGTTACTTGTTTAAACGTTTTACTAAAGCGGCCCGCCGTTTAGACCAATAGAAAGAGGAAATTTCTATTTTACAGGAATTAAAACCCCTCTAACGTTTCATCGTTCCCCGCCACCCGCCAAACTGCTGCTAAGAGAATGAGACGGTTTCTATTTTTAACTTACATATATAGTTCTACGTAACGATTACGTTCCCCAATGAAAAGAAGCTGCTCTCTTACAAATGCCTGGAATTTTTCCCCGCCAACTGCGTTTGGACCAATCAGAGGACGCAATACCGTCAAGTAAGATTTAAATACTAACGTGGGAAGAAGATTTAAAGGGGAAAATGCATTTAGGCACATAAACGTAGCTTAATTTATCAATTTACTAGAGCGATTTATTAGTATTCATTTTAAATGGTATAAAAAGAAGATCTCTGTTTTGAACTTGCGTTTGTTAAGATTTGTGGCGCCAAGGAAAGTAGCTATACAAAAATATTGCGTGTTGTGTAAACGTTGTTTTTATTGCCTAAGTGTATTATAATGTAATAATAAATATTTATAACGTATACATATAACGTATACATCACTGGTTTCTCACATTATACATAACTTGTTTATCTGCGTGTGCACAGGGCATAACGTATAACAGTGGTTACATGTGTAAATATGTCGTGTCCCCTTTAAGAGTATTTATATTTTGGTAGTCGACATTCTGCGACTGATGTAATGGTTCGTCTGTTTTGGTGAAGTCACATGACGCTTTTGTGCGAGTGAGATCTACGCTGCGGTGTCCGAGGCAGGGCTGGTAAATGGAGCCATTGGAGTTAAAGAGGGGGTTGGGGTGACCTGGCTGTTTTGATCGAGACGCTTCTAGGTTATAGGCGGGGAGAATGGGATTTTAATGTAACCATAAGCAGAGATGCGTAGTAAGTAAGTAGAGGAACCAAACGGAAGGAGCAGGTGTGTGTGTGTGTGTGTCTGTCTGTGTGTCTTTAATCGTCGTCATGTTTGTAGAAAACAAAGCAGAGTGAACGAGGAGGGGCAGCATGACGTAACGGTCCAGCCAGTTAAACCAGAAAGAGCAGAAACTTTCCCATAAACACACCCAGCTGAAACGCGCCACCTGTTTCCGCTTCATCTGGGAAATATTCATTTTATTTTCTGCTGTGTGTATATCTGTTATATTTTTAACTGCTTAACACGATCATAATGTCCGGCATTATTTGTGAACCACAGTAATCAGTTCGTTACTAATGTAACCTGCTGAGTACTTAAATCTTATTTTCATTATGAAATAATAGTTGATGTTTGGTCAAATGGTAAGTTTGTGCTAAATGGGAGAGTCTTGCCACGCCACAGGCGTGGTTCTGAAAGTTGAGAATGTATTATTTATAAATGTTTATATCCCGAAAATTAAGACGTTGTGAATTAGCCCCAGAGATAGTTCCATACACTATTATGTAGCAATACGTGCTTATTGTCATAATGAATGGCATTTGTTGATGTTTATGTATTGCTTATTAAGATTTAAAGTGTTTCTCATTACAGTTTCATTTAGGAACCTTTACCTTTGGTGTATTATTTGGTTATATTTTCGCTCTGCTTCAACCCTACTTACAAAAAGCTGAGATGTTGTGTAAAATGGAAATCAAAACCAAATACAGTGATTTGCAAATCATATAAACCCACATTTAATTGTAAATAAAACAGACAACATATCAAATGTTGAAACTGAGATATTTTTATTGTTTTATGACAGATATCTTACAATTAATTAAGTTAAACAGCAACAGGTCAGTAAGACAGTTGGATATAAAAAGAGCCTCCCAGAGATGCAGAGTCTCTGTGCAGTGAAGATGGGGAGATGTTCACCACTCTGTGAAAGACTGCGTGGGCAAATAATGCAACAATTTAAGAATAATGTTCCTCAATGTAATATTGCAAAGAATTTGGGAATTTCATCATCTACAGTAAATAATATCATTAAAAGATACAGAGAATCTAAAATAATCTCTGTATGCAAAGGAGGAGGCTGAAAACAAATATTGGATAGCCGTAATCTTAAAGCGAAACAATTCTTTAGTGGAAATCACTGCATGGGCTCAGGAACACTTCCGAAAACCATTGTCTGAACAGTTTGTCCTTGCATCCACAAATGCAGAATGAAACTCTACCATGCAAAGAAAACATGATCCAGAAACGCTGCCACCTTCTCTGGGCCCGAGCTCATTTAAGATGGACTGAGGCAAAATGGAAAACTGTCCCATGGTCTGATGAATCAAAATTTCAAATTCTTTTTGGAAATCATGGATGCCATATCCTTCAGGCTAAAGAGGAGAGGGACCATCCAGATTGTTGTCAGCAGTTCAAAAACCAGCATCCGTGATGGTATAGAGGTGCATTACGGGGGTCATTAGAGTTGGGTCTCGGGGGCAGCAGTCTAAGCAGGGATGCCCAGACCTCCCTCTCACCAGCCACCTCCTCCGGGGAACATCAAGGCATTCCCAGGCCAGCCAAGAGATATAATCTCTCCAGCATGTGCTGGGTCTGCCCTGTGGCCTCCTCCCAGTTGGACATGGCCAAAACACCTCCCCAGAGGAACCATCCAGGAGGCATCCTAGATAGATGCCCGAACCACCACAACTGGCTTCTCCCGAATATCTGAGCTCCTCACCCTATCTCTAAGGCTGAGCCTGGCCACCCTACGGAGGACACTAATTTCGGCCGCTTGTATCCACGGTCTCGTTCTTTCGGTCACTACCCAGAGCTCATGACCACAGGTGAGGATAGGAACATAGATCAACTGATAAATCGAGAGCTTTGCCTTCCAGCTCAACTCCCTCTTTGCCATGAATGAACAGCCAAATGGACCCCATACCTGATATTCCTGAAGCACCCACCACAGGACCCCCCGAGGGACACGATCGTATGAGTTTATATGATTTGTAAATCATTGCATTCTGTTTTTATTTACATTTCACACAGCGTCCCAACTTTTTTGGTAATAGGGTTTGTAATATACATGTATTTGTTTCTTAGTTAAAATGTATAATCTGTTGTATATACTGTATAATTGTAAAGCTATATGTCACTAAAGGTGCTTTATAAGAACTGAATGGATGAGTGGGAAAAGATAAATATCTTTGTGATTACCAAGTTAAGTGTTACAGAACCATAAAGTCTTTTGTGTGAAAATAACATGTGATAACCACCCCTGGATTCATGACTGTTATTCACCAGCTGGATGCCAGTAACAGCCCACCTACTCTATCCTTAAAAGTACACAGTAAAAATAATATCGCTCAGGGTGGATCCTGAAGTCCTTACTGTTTATTCACAATTATTTTTCCCACTAACTCAGAGTACATATTTAAAGGAAGTAGAAGTCATGATCACATTACATTTTGGTCATGACAATATTATTGGTCATTCGATGTGAATAATACAAACAATTAATGATTAGTCACCTGGCTGGTAATAATTAAAACATGAAATACAGATGGTGTGGATGAGAGCAGGAAGTCAGTGGCCCTTAAAAACCCCAATTACTCCTGGAACTGTCTGCTTTCACAAAAATGTATGTCGCTTTGGATAAAAGCTTCTATTAAATAAAATTTAAAATGGCTGAAACTTGCACTAATAAAAGTGCCTCTTCCAGACAGGGAAAGTAAAAGTTGTAGTTTAATCCGTATACTTTGTACTTCTTCTATATTTAGACATTCTAAGAAATATTTTACACTGTCTTTCTAAAAACTTGTGAGAAGCTGTTACCTTCCTTAAAAATGTTTTTACCTTTGAGACTTGATGAACTGGCCAAACAAGTTTCACATGGTCAGCACTTGAATCCCCAGGAGCAAATCTGAGTGTTTAATATTGGTGAGTTGGTTGCCAATGACATTCATGCCAAGTTTCACCAGAATATTAACCTGTGAATCCAGTACAGGAAAATCCCAGACAGAAGCCACACATATATAATCCTCTTCAAAGGAGAAAGCCGTGAAAAACTCTTCTCCATACTTGAGTCGAAGTGTGTATGTCACCACATACCATTGCTTTGTGTCTAATTAATGAGCAAGCAGTTTTGATGCTACCTGATATGTCAATTCTGAGAAATGAAAAATATATCAATCAAAATAGTTTTCTGCCCTTCTGTGGCCTCATTGTTATTTTATTGATTAGGCTTTTCTTCAAAATAATAATAATATAATATTAATAATTAATTATTTTCCACTTATCTATATAGCAGTGGACATATTGGGTCATAATCATATACCCAATAAAAAGAAAATATTTGCTCAGGAACTGTGTGGGGTCCTTGGAATGATCTGTGTTAACAATCACAAAATTAGACATTTATTTCAAGCATCTTTGCAAACAGTTGAACACCGGTCTTTAATAACAAACCAGTTATGAAAAGAATGGGTAAACATCGCATCGAATGTTTGTAGACATGAGAAGAAAAAGCCTGCCGCCAATTACTAAGCCTAAGTGTCTGAATACTTACGTGTGAACAAATAAAACTTATCATTAGAAATGTTGTTGTTAGCATTGAGACTGATCACAATGATCAATACACTGCCTTTTCCTGTTTTAATTTAATATAATTCAGTTCAATTCAATGTAATTTTATATAGCGTCTTTCACAACACAGTTGCCCCAAGGCAAGAAACCCGAACACGGCTGAGAGGTTCTGAGTGTACTTGCGCGTACTTCCGCATGTCTCATCGCCATCTTGTTTCTATGCATGTTGCTAGGCGAATGACAAAACACGAAGAACGATCTGACCTTCGACCCGGAAGGAATCACGCCGGGCCATGGGAGCTCGGAAAGGGGCTCCGATTGTGTAAACAGAGAGCCGCAGTGGCGAATGTTTCATCGCAAAGTTAACATTCATTAACCTGGCCATCGTGCCCCGTTGTTGGAGTATGAGGTTACAGAACAAGCTCTACGGAAAGTGAGTTGCAAAAATGTCGATGGAGGATCCGTTTTTCGTCGTGAAGGGGTAAGGGAGGACTCATCCGTCTGCTTGTCCATTTAGCTAGCTTGCGGTTCTTGGAGCAGAAAACTTAGACAATGGCGTGTTGTTTTCGCTGAAGGATATGATGACACTTTTCCTCTTTAATTCACGACCTGGTCTACAACAGCCTTGGTGTCTTAGAATTGGGGTGGAGGAAAATTACACGGATTTAGACATCACGCCAGATCCATATTCGGATGTGTAGTCAATTAATCACTTAAAAATAATATTAGTTTGCTGAGAAGTATTGCAAGTTTTGTTTAATAGTTTGTTGAGGGAGTCCCTAAATAAAACGTCGCAGTCTTACGATCACCGCAACGGTGGACGATACATCATGTCATTGATTTGGCCGGAAATTGACCAAAATTGTCATAGCTAGTAAATCATCCATTGCAAAATATATGAAAAGAAATTCACCACAACGTCTCACTGCTGTTGATTTTATGAATTGATTAAGTAGCTGAACATCCCCTTGCAAAGGATTGGTTGTTTTATTTTCAGTCTCTGGTCTAGACTATTTGGCCCACATCGCTGCAACTTTTATTGCCGCTACCAGAATAATTTTGCTTGGGGAGAAGACAAGTGTAAGGGAAGCATCTTGATCTCGTATGCACCTTTTTGGTCAGGGAGGTGCAGAAGGCTGTGAATACAGCCCAAGGGCTGCACCAGCGATGGACTGAGCTATTGCAGGACCCTTCCGCTGCCACCAAGGAAGAGGTTGACTGGACCACTAATGAGCTGCGAAACAGTCTGAGGTCTATCGAGTGGGACCTGGAAGACCTGGATGAGACCATCAATATCCTGATTCTAAGGCTTCTCTAATTGATTACTGAGACCTATTTCATTACCTTTGTTAAACTTGGTTTACATTTAATGACACATTAGTGCATGTTTAATCTTAAATATCTCCCTTAACCTCTGTGAAAGCATTGTTGAGGCAAATCCCAGGAAGTTCAACCTGGATTCCTTGGAGCTCAGCAAACGGAAAGCCTTCATCACAAGCACCCGGCAGACAGTGAAGGTGAGTCTGCCTCACTGACACCCGGAGTGAGAACTGCTTCAGGAAGTAACACTTTGAACAAATGAACTTTTGCTGTATGAAGTAAACATCCCGGGATGTTTGTCAGGGTAACTGAAATGACATATTTGAATACTAATACAGTTGCGATAATTACATCTAATCAGTAGCTTACTGTACATGAGTAATTGATATATATATATTAGGGATGTAAGCAATTAATCGATTATCAATTAATTGTCGATAAGAAATTACTCGATTAAAATTAATTAATTGCAATTAATTGTATTTTGAACCCATAATTCCTTGCCAGTCCTCGTGGGGCGCACTTGTTTTCGTTTTAAGTAGTCTTTCTTATATTTTGATATTTTCTATTCAAAATATGTTTGAAATGCTACCAAATGTTATTCCCT